TATATATATATATATATATATATATATATATATATATATACATATATATATATATATTTGTAAGTCGTTTTAAACAAAAATGTACTGTTGTGGTTCCTTGAATAAACCCCAGCCTTCTCTTTGAAAGTATCAACTGCCCCAATAATTTTGAGAAAAACAGCGTGATTACAATGATTAGATTCTGGCTGTGTGACCTTGCCACAAAACGTTACCATTGAAGTACAATTAGGAATTTGCTGAAAAGTGAAGCGACTATTGATCGGTGGATGGCTGAGTGGCCTAAGCACTCACAATTGCACTTGCTCCCTGATCAACAAGTAACGTGGCGTACCTTCGAGACTGAGTGCTGCATTCCACAGCACTTAATTAGTTTTTATGCATGCTATGGCGCCATTAATAGAAGACACTATACGCACCTTTTTTGTATCTAGGCGTACATATTTTGCATGGAGCCCAATGCTCTTTATTCATATTTAAGCAATTTTAATAAAATGTTCTATTTTCCAATACCCATCTTGATTAAAGTTGAGGGATACAAGAGTTGCTCAGATTTGCGTACTCCGTTCTAGTTTTTGGCGAAATTTTACAAACACTGGTGGTTCATGAGCTTTAATTCGACGGCTCCACATATTTGGTAGTATTTATTCATAAAAAATATTTATAAATAAATATTTATAAAAAATTTTGAAAAGTAAAATTAAAATTACGCTCAAATAATTTCTATCTTTTGTCCACAATTGTCATGGAAATTGACAACCCTTGAGTAGCTAACATGTTGGTCACCAGTCGGTTTCGTTCCATATTAAGTAGTATTTAACAATCAGACTTCCAACAAATTTCATGCGTTATTTTGAATCGCTGAACCGAGAATGGGTATATATTTTACACTTTTTCTACCTTTGTTTTTCTATGTAGTTCTACATATTTTCCTTCCCTTTGGGCTCGGTTATTCAGTTATTGACTCCACTCACCCTCTCCGTTGTTTTAAACCCAAATTAAAATTTTACCCTTCCAAGTATTCAAGATTTCAGCATATTGGTTAAATGCCGCTATCACTGACTCTGTCTTTTAGATCATGGAAGTGGATTTTGTATATATGGAAAAGGCTTTATTTATGTTAATATTCATCTTCCTGAATTGGTGCCTTTAACTCTGCAACTTCCACTGAAGATAATACAACAAATAGGAAATTAGTGTATCAACCTTGTCTATATTATACCAGGTCGTATAAAGCGGAGTTAGCAATTTATCTACTGAATTGCGATTTGCTTTATTATTTTTAAGAGTATTTCTTAGTCTCCTCATAGGACATTTATTTAGCTCTACTCCAGTCAGAATTCAATTAGAGCAGAAATGATGTGACTAGGCGGTAGGTCGAGGCCCAATGTGCTGTGAGTGGCAAGTAAAAATTTCCTCAAATTTGGCGTCCATTCATTCTTTTACATTAAAATATCTAAGGCTTAAGAGAAACTTTCGAGAGAGAAAGTTTAAATTCTTGCCTTGTAATAGTTGATTTATTTTCAAAATTAGATAATCAAAGAATCAGCAAAAAGTCTACTTTCACAAAATTGGAAATAGTAGTGGACTATCGACTGCCAAAATGAGCACACATTACTTCAATTTGTTTTTCATGTCTTCTATTTATTGATATAATTCGCAAATTTAGAAAAATTCCTGTCAATAATCTCACATCTAGGGTTATTTCAGTTAAAAAAAGATTTACAAAAAAATTAAATTTGAAATGTGGTCTGACCTCCTGGGAGTATTATTGCCATGCATTAAGGTGAAGGTCAATTTAAATGAGATCATCGGATTGCGTTTGCTGATAAGTTCAATAAATCCACCTCAAGGAATATATTTGCCTATTATAAGGAAATGCCTTGGGCCTGCTCATATGACCTTAGAAAGTCAGTTGGTTCTTGCATATCAGTGCTAGGAGTTGAAAATGAAAATTCGAGTCATCCATAACTTTGGAATGAATGCGTTGAGAAAGTCGGAAATTTCGTTTTTTGGAATGTGCACTTTCTTCTTAACTCTTCATTTTACTTCAAGCTACTTTAACTAATATAAACAAATTTAACAATAAATCATGTTTGGTGGAAGTACACAACTGTATTTTAACTGGCAATTTCATTTCTAATTTCATAATTTCAAACTTCATAAATCATTTCGAAATGATTTAATAGTCGACACAAATTTTGAAACCTGCATGACTAAAGCACTTATTTCAGTTGACTGCATTAGTTCTGTTAAACGAATTACACTGTGCGTAAACTTTATTAATGTGGTAACTCAGAATCAGACGACCATCAGTAATTTTGCATTGATCCGAAACCGTTTGCAACATTTTGAAATGTCTGAAATTTAAAATTTAAAAATAACCTTAAAGACTGCGTCCACATAATACTTTCATTTTTAATCTGCATAATGGAGGGAATGTGACAATAATTAGTTTCCCTTTCAACTCTTTATGGATACATGAAAATCTGTTCACTTAAAATTAAATTTAGATTTCTAATGGAAGTCCATGAAATAATTCGGAAGGAAAATTTCCCATTAAGATAAATTGTCCTTTTGCCTTCAGCAATTAAACGTATGGCGGTGTTTGATTATTTAAAATGTTAATTTAAACAGGTTAAAACACAGTGACGGACTTAAAATTAGTCATAATGCGCTATTTCAAGTTTAAACGAAATATCTTATAGTTACGATGGTTGGCTGAAAATTAACAACGCATTAGTCAGAACTGTAAGTAATTGAGGTGATTTAAATATTTAAGCTTTGAAGTAGCCACTTGTTCTTATTAATTGAAAAAAATGGAGGAATTTCCATGCAAAGTAAGTTCAATGTATTAGCGTGTGATGACAGAAGATTTCAAATATCATTATATAATTAATGTGGATGAAAATGCCAAGTGCATTCACTTGACTACCGAGCACTTAGTAAGTGCAAGCAAAACATTGTATTCCGTACAATGAAAAATAAGAATTTTAAATATATCAATAAAAAAGATCACGAATTGTTATGTTCAGGTGTGGAAACGATCTGGCGCCTGGTTTCACAAAGGTTTCCCCAAAAGCGGTCTTCATAGCAGCTGCCCTGCAAGTCCGCTAACTGGGAGATCCGTCACGACGGCAGATGGTTGGACCAGTCTACTTGCACGAGGTCCCACAGAAACACTTCCAACTGGAGCAGCGGCTTTGGCAGGTGATGAAGACTGGACTCGTATAGAAAGTAAGTTCAGTTTTTTTCTTGAAACAAAAATGTGTTTATGGTAGTATAGGCTTATTAAATATATTAAAGAAGTTTCAAGACTCACTATGCAATTATCTGGGATTAAACTAAAAATAAATTTTAGATTAGCTGCTCATCGTTTCAATAAGCAGTAAAAACCAATCGTACAGCATTTCTCAAAATAAAAAAAATTAAGGGGTTTGTGAAAAGTCGTGAAGGCCCGATTACCTAAAATTAAACAAGATATGTTTTTAAATAAATGGCTTCTAAAAATTAAATTTGTCAATTTAAGTTAATTACCAGAGTTTATGTTTATTAAATTAAAGATAATATTCTGGAACCTATTTAAATGAGCAGATATCTAAAATTTTGAATAATAAAATTAATTTTTCCTCTTTTAACTTCAGAAAGACCTACGGAAACGGGCCCTTCAACTGAAGGTGTAGCAGGTGGGTTTACTGGTAAGATTCGTCTGCCAAATATTAAGATTAATATCAAAGGCCAATTTTTAATTCAATTCACTGATTAATGATTTGCTTAAACGACGTAATATTATAAATATTATAAATAATTTATTATATGCAATAAACTTGTTTAGATAGACTAGCATTTTAAAAAACGTGCATCTTTTCAATAAAAAATTAAAAAAACTAATAGAAATAGCCTTAATTAATTGGTAGAATATCTGAGAACGGGTTTTTTTGTAGCATTTGACTCCCTAAAATTGCTTTTGAATGCAATTATGTTTAACAAGCTACTGCAAGGTAATTTGATTTTTTAATTGTTTTGGAGAAAATAATTAAAAAATGTCAAACTTGCCGACATGACCAACTTTTAGTTTGTCAAAACAACGAATATTTAAAAATCACGAAATATATACAAGAAGACTACATACAGTAAAACCCGTATATGAATAAAAAATTCATGCAAAAAATATAAAAAGAGCTTCAAATAAACTATGTTTAGAGGATTGGAAAATATAATCTCTATAATTGGAACTTTACAGAAAAGCTCAGTGGTAAAGTCAAGCAAAGTTAATACTTTCAGCTAATGGAGAATAAATGAGGACAAATATATAGTGTTTTGGCTCTCTTGTTGTTGGTACTTATTTAGAATTGGTCTTAATTTACATTGAAGGACTAAAAGATGCAATGTAGCAACTTAGACACTTCACATTTCACATCAACATTTGGGAAAAGGCGACAATTTCCATTTCATTATTTTATCCAACATGCATGATTTTTTAATTTTGCATTATCACAAATCAAATCGGTTACTCAGTTGAAAATGTCATAATACTTAATTTCATTGCAATTAGGCTAATTTAAATAAATTTATTTCAAATCGAATGCGTGGCTCTTCCTCTCAACTGTATTAAATAAATATGCTTTACCCATCTTCGCTTGTATTTATTTAAAAATTGTAGTTAATTTTGACTTTCAAAATGGAATGGTCGACCAAAGTTTGCATTTTTTACAATTTCAAATTACACACACATACCTAATTCTTATCAAAATATTGTTTCTTATTTGGGAATTATATATATTTTCAAATTGAACCATGGCCGAATTGGGGACATTTAATTTTAAAATAATGAATGGAATAATGATAATTGTTATTATTGCTTAAGACAATGTAAGTCAGAATAAACAAATGCTTAAAAGACATTATATCAGATGGATTTATTTATTTAAAATCGAAATGAGTAGGGTCTTCTACATTTGATTTTAAATAGCCTACGTTCCAAAACTTAATCTTTGATATTTGATACTCGAGTTTCTAGATGTTTTAATGTTATCAAAAAGCAAAATATATTGATCTGTCTCTATAGTTGGCCGACTGATGTGCAACTACGATAATTTAGACAGTAAAATCAACATAGAATTTCTCTCACAAAATGCTCATAAGCCATTTTTCTCGCTAAGTGGATAATCCTCCACAAACTGAGTCACCCATGGAGGCGGTAGTTTCTCATTCACTGGAGTGTAAAATAACAATTTTATGATTAAAGCTGCAATATTCTGCTGGTCCTCTATTAACGAAGCAATTCAATTTTTTGCTGGGGCACAAACAACCTCTTTATTTGAATTTTAACGGAATTTCAAATTTAAAACGAAAGTTAACACCAAAGATAAAAATTTTCAATTTCTGCTCTTGAACTTTCTTTCAAATTGCCTGGTTATTTCGTTTGTCGAAATTTGATATAATTCACCGTCAGTTAGAGAAAATCCGTAACTTGTTTGTAGAAGAATAGTATTTAGACAGTTATATCATTTTGCGTATATAGGTTATCTTTGTCATTGTGTTCATGTACACTCTCGAATTAAAAAACCCAAAATTAAACCAATGTTCTTCTTTGAAAAAATTTTGAAATTATAAAACAGATTTTTTAGAACCTAGTTTTTGCAGTTTGCTAGCTCCACACCTGTCTCCTCTTGCATTCATAGCAATGCAATACAGTAAAGCCGTTTCAAAAGGTACGAGCTCAGTTAATGGCATCTTACTTAGCTTGAATTTTTCAGATTAGCAATTTTATTATTATTTTGAAAGCAATTCATCACATTTTATTCTAATGTTTCGAAATTTAGGTCTCGCGATTTGTACTCCTAGTCTCAGATTGTCAGTGAATTTCCGATCTTGCTGATTAGCAGGTTGAATGTTTTACAATTATTTTGTTTTCATGATTTGTTTTTCATTATCTGATGGTCATAGGAAGTTATGGAAGGGAATGAATAACATTATAACTTAGCAGAGCCTGCCAAATGTTCAGTGTCTCACGACTCATTTGTAAAAAAATATATTCTGCATTCTCTTATAATTTTCTATAGGTTAAATTAACAAGAATTCATATTTTGGTAAACATATATCTTACGGAATCGCTGATTGGTTAACCTTATTATCCATCTCACCTTTGCCTTGACAAAACTGTAAAGTGGAGAATATCCTATGAAACTATTTCTCCTTCTACAAATACGAATTTAAGAAGCAGGATCAGATCGTCTTGGTATAGCAATACCAATCGATGAACACTGAGCTTCTTAGATAAGTATTTGATGTAAACCAAGGAATAATTCATGATTCGTGTCCTTTTGAGTGTGAACTCCTCATTTAATAAATATTTATTTATTTAAAATGGAAGGCATTTCGATAGTTATCATTAGCCCTTTAGCTGACTTCGGGCTCTACAGAGAGAAGGAGGAACACCAAAGTGACAAAAAGTCGAGATGGGGACAGAATAATGAACCACAGATGTAAAGGAGACAGACAGACAGACATAAAGGCGGAGAAAAGGTAAGATTGGTACTATAAAGTTGTCGAATAAGACATACAGTGGGATCATGGTAGTTTGAAGTCAGGATGCACCACGTGGAGGTAAGTCTATCGCACACCCCTTCAATAAATATTGTTCGACTCAAATCCACAGGCGACTGAGGCCAGATAATTTAAGGCTTTGGCGTTATATTTTATGTATCATTTTGTTCCTCTTACCTTTAAAATTTGCTTGAGCTACGGCTATTTGATGCCAGTTCCTTTCCACAACAACAAATCGAAACATTTGGAAACAGCGCAGATTGAGATATTAATGAAGTTACCTTTTATTCTGCCAAGCACACTTCATACCGTTAACTTTACCTTTAGCTATATTTGTCATAAAAGGAGTCTTTTGGGATCCAATTTCCCAGTCCCACTTAGGGTCCTACTTTCTTCATCCACTTATCATTTGCACTAATTTTGCTCTTAACCATCATTTCCACGCGGAATATTTGTGCACTTATGCGTCAGGTTGAGATTTTTCCTGTCCTTTATCTCGAATATAATTAGAATAGAATAAGATGCTTTAATTTAAAGAAGAGTGAAGAAAAAAAGTTTTAGTCTTGTCTGAATTACAATTTCATTCTTCTTTTGAGTTAATATAGGTGGAAATGTAATCAAGCCTGCTTTTTATTGCATAATTAAGCAAACGTTTTTTACATAACAACACAAATAATTTAGTTGTTGAACACTGGTAATGTGGTTGCCCGTTGTGTGGTTTCTGGTTAAATTTGTCAATCAGTAAAATTCTCTTATGGATATTTGGATTTTACTAGCCACAAGATACACACCAGAGGGAGTAGTAACTCGAAAGATTTCAAGAGAAGAGTCCGGCAGCCCACCAGACACAATTGTTGCCAACTCAAGAAATGAAGGGAGCAGTAGCACGGGAAGTCCCCTTGGTATCTTTGACAATTCACCATGGAAACAACCACCAGACCAAAAACAATCTTCTAAGCCTAATTCCTCACCAACTAGCAAACTTAACCCCAGAGAACCAAGTCCGATTCACGAATCTCTTTCACAGAATAGCCTCCAGGCACTTGAACTTCCACCTCAGCGCGGCAGAGAGTCAAAAATTCCCAGTCTCTTCCCAGAAACTAAAATGGCTCTGGGACTTGGAAGTCCTAATATCATTCCTCCCACATTTGCGCCGCCCCCAGACTTAAAATTCAAAAGAGAGTCGTCACCGTTTACAAAACCCGCTACTTCCTTTGCCGAAGGTATACATTCTTAATAATAATGCTCTCCATTGTTGGTAAATTATGAAATTTTTGAGTTACGGGTATGCTATTGCCATGGAACATTAATCGTGGTATTTTTTCGACTTTGTTTTAACAAATGATTTAGAGTCCCCTAAATAAGGAAATAAACGACCATTTTAAGCAGGCACTACTAACTGCCTCTCATCAATAAGTCAATCGAACAGCATATTTCGCAAAAGTGGAACGGATCAATCATGATTTAATTTGTAATCATGTAAACTAAAAAGCTAGTGTGTTCAAGGAGGCAGTAATTTTAGTTTATATGTTATATTTTTATATTTAAAAACACATCTACAATGACTTCTGTTGTTTGATTGATCAAATTAGAGTGGGGAGTATCCCTTTAAAATTTACCTTGGGACTTGGAGGATAAAATAGCCACCACCAAACTGGTAGAAGGAGATATGAGTGGAGGGCAAAAGATCTCTTGAACCACAAGTGAAATCCACGAAGAGATGAAAGTGAGATAAGTAATTGAATTTGATTGAATCTGAGATAATCATCGTCACAGAGTAAGTGTAAACGGGGCTATGGAGAAGCCTAATTATGCATTGCACTGAAAAAGCTTATGCCCATTAATTCTTTTCTAAGGATTCAATTAAAGCAAAGTCGTGACAATTAGACAAAATGACCAGCGCGTGCGTCCGATTGCATTTTTTACATCATTATACTAAAAAAGCAAACATGCGGCGTTTGAATGAACACCCCTACTGAAATAGAGATGTGCAGAAGTTTGCATAATTTTCATAAAGCTATCTGATTTGCAGTATCCTGAGTCATCTGGTTCCGACATTTCACGCATCATCTCACTCAATTCTAATGTGAAGCATCTGTGTTTGCCATCATTTTACGTGGTTGGTTCTAATGTCAGATATAGACTAATCATAATTCGGAATCCACTACAATACCATTGTCGTTATGCCGTTAATTCCAAAAGAGACACGATACATGGCTAGACTAATTTCTTATTTACTAATTAATCGGAAATTAATTTCTTATTTGTAAAATATAAGTTTCATAGTAAATTAGGGTGAAATAAGTCATCAGATATTATAATTTTTATTAAATGCAATTAGGTCAAATTTTTATATACGTGCATTTTAGCTCCCTTGGGAATTCTCTACTTCTCTGTCATTCACGATGTTCCCAACTGCGAACTCCACGTCCGAATACACAATGCCAAGGTAAATTGTCTATTAATTATATTCACGATTATTGCCATTGCTCAGTGATTAATAGTTAATACGTAATTGGATACTTAATATTCGGGCTACGCGGAATATTTGTTGTTTGAATACTGATATCTATTAGATATTTACTAGGCAATTAAGTGGTCCACTTAACTACATTGACCATAATTTTGAGACTGTAGAAGCATTGCATTGGTCTCTCGCTGAATGTCAATTTTGACCTGTTGTCAAACCCCATAGTTTTGCATGTGACTCATCATGATGTTTTAATAACGCCCATTGATTTCCCGCCTCCTGGCATTCATTAGACTAATTAGTTGACCTTTGGTTTCACAATTTTGAATAGGATTATCTGTCAGCATAACTAATCTTTATCACTAGAGTACGTATACATTGAACGGGTTTTCTCTTTCTCAAAACCCGACCACCAATTATTTGCATCCTCCTTACCAGACAAGACTTGATCAGATTAAGTTACTACATGGAAACGTGTACGGTTGTTTTGTAAGCATGAGTGAAGAAAACATTTCCGCGTTCTAATGCTCCTGATTACTAAACTCCATTTTTGCTAATAGAATTTTCATTATTATTGCAGCATTGTTACCATATGTTTTGCAAAAGAATTTATCTTAATAAGGCACATTTCTACGAAATTTTGTGTAATTTGATGCTCTTTTAGTCATAGCTCGTGCAGAATTTGTAATAAGGAAAATATCACTGTCAGCATTAAACAAAGATCCTAATTCGCGCACATGCTATTTAAGCTAGAGGCACATTTACTCTTGAATAAGAGACCATTTGAGTCTTTAGTTTGTATCCAAGGCAGTGACAAAATCCCCCCACCTCCCTCCCTGACCCTAATTTATTAATACAGTTTCATATGTACCCACCATTGGCCTTTAACGGATTTTCTTCAACCAGGCATTTGGGTCTCATGCTAGCAAATTGTCGTCTTAAAATGGTTAATCCTAATGAAGATAGTCTATCTCCCTCCCCTATCTACACTTAATGCAGTTTAAGAAGCTCAAATGGTTAATAACACAACACGTATTTCACAGCTTCCTAATTTGCTTCCTTCCTCCAGCTACGTACCCAATTGTGGATATCTGATACTATGCCAATTCCTGAAATAAGATGAATTTAATGAAGGCATTTCAGCCAAATCTTCTAACCATAACTTCTCGAAAATTTATGTCATACTTTTCCATATATTACCATATATTACAACTGATTTTATTTGGTGGTTGAAAATAACCAAGTACTTTATTTTGCTACCATCCATGCCTTTTGTTCTCAAAAGGATGCAACATGGTTTGTGCGAAGTGTCACACATCAGCAAACACAATGGAATAATGATTATGAAATCACAAATAAGTATAAAATCATCAACTTATAACCAGGCAAAGTAGCAAATTCTTGCTAACGGAAATAATTTTGCCACATGAAAAACTATGCACTGAATTTGAAAATCGCGAGGCCCAAACTAAAAATCTTTGAATACTCGTGTTTATGTACATATTATTTTTAAGACATCAGTCTTCAGCCTAAATGTATTTTGCAAATTATTTTACCTCTTGCCTGTATCGTACTTTATCGATGTTGCAACCAATTTGATATACCTTTGCATTCTCTGAATTCATGTCCTTCACTACAAAACTTCATGTAAAGCATTGGATCAGAGGGGTTTCGAACTTTACGTCGTATGAGTAAAGACAATACAGGAACATTAGTTGCAGAGTTCACATTTTGGTTGACCCTCTAAAATCTGCTTTCCTAATAGTTTCAAGCCTTGTTACTTTATGCAGAGATCTAAGATTTAAAATGGGATCTAAAATATTACCAAAAGTCTCAGGAAAATACCAATTTTTTCTACTTAGAACCTCATTGCGATGGATGCAAACGGTCTCTCTGACCCTTTCGTTGTGTGCCAACTACTTCCAGCTGCAGGAAAACGATTTCGAACTCGAACCATTCCGCAGAACCTCAATCCTATTTGGAATGAAACATATACCTTCACTGATTTCGACAATCGTAAACTGGACAAGAGAGTCCTGAGGTGATGTGATTTAAATCTCGTAATTTTGCCCTTGATCTATATGAGATCAAAGCCTTCTGTCTTTATTTATGGTCAGAGAGGGAGAGAGCACTATAACTTACCATATGTTGATACGATTTTAAATGCGCTTAGCTTCAGCCATTTTATGTCTTCTTTATTTGAATATAGAGGACGTTAGGCATATTTCGTTTTTAAGACATTTGAAAAGAACATGCCTAAACCTGCTTATTTAATAGAGTCATCACATTTAACTCGAACCTAACGGTAGATCACAGTAGGGCATATCGTGAGGAGATAAAGTACACATTCCTCGTATCCTCCTCTTGGAATTCCTCCTTTCCCTACCCACCCCCCCCCCTTCTATGACGTGGGTTTTATACTCTCTCATACTTTTTGAAGATTCAATTTATAAGACAATGAAAGAAAAATGGTTGTGTAGCAAAAGACAAAGGGTAGCATTTATGTTGTCACTAATCCTCCACCACTTAACCTTGAACTAGGGCTAATAGAGTCTTTTTGGAGTATACAAATTAATTTAAACAAAGAGGAAGAGAAGAAAAAATGTGGAATTGGCTTTGAAGGTCAATTTCTGAAATCTTTTAGTAAATCCTGTGAATGGGCTAACCATGACTTTTTATCAAGATGTACATGCCTTTTTAAGATTTTGATAATGACGATATATTCGGATTACTTTAATAATAGATGATAGATAAAGATAATAGATACAAAAAATTCCACCTGATGTAATCGGTCAGAAATTGTAGCTTTACAATTTCGGGATTTATTAAATCGCTCCATAGTATTTAATTAGCCATGTAGATTTGATTGGATTCCAATCTATTTCTGCAATATAAAATTTTAAAATACCTGAGCTTAAATTCATAATTACAGTGAAATTAATTAAGTCCTTCATAGGAGTCAACTGGGTGCGCATATGAAAGCCGAGGTGAGAGGGCAAAAGGTTGCCTCTATCGAGGATATATTAAAATTCTAACCAAAACACGATTCGGTAAGGGTGTCAGCGTGTAGACAAGAGAGTTGAAAGGTGAATAAAACGTCATAACAGACGACTTTCCTGGACATTGATGTCATGAGGGTCCAAATGTACTTATGAAGAATGTAACACTTTCGCTAATAGGAAACCACAATAGACCAAATATGGCAATTTGAGTTTGACAGAATTGAGCAATACTAATGGACGAAAAAATTCAAAATATTCAAGCATTTAATATTTTATTGACTTAACAAGATTTCAATTTAATGGTTTCAACATATTATGATGAAAAATAATTATGCCGTGCAAATTTCGAATAAGAAATTTTATTCTGCCCTCTCCTAAGAACTTGGCTGAAGGCTTTCCACACACAATGCCTATGCATCTCTCTATAAGATCTATTAATTATTATCCAATGAAATATTTCAGCAAAAGTTAGTAGATTCAGTAAGATGGAGTATAGTAAAACAAATTTTCAAAAGAACCTAATTTGTTGACAAATTGTATTATTTATGTTGAGTTTAATTGCTTTCCGAAATATAATCTATATCTACTTTCATTTTTGTTGAAATTTCATATCAGGTTTGCTGTTTTGGATGAAGATATTTACGGCGCCGATTGGTTGGGCGAATACCGGCTTAGTCTTGGTGAATTGCTCCCTGATCGACTTTCCGAGTTTGCTGTACCTTTGAATCCCAGAAAGCCGGTAAATCGCAATTGAAATAATAATCCCATTTTCCTTATATTATCAAAAAACTTGTTCAGCTTATAAAATTTTAGTCTGTTACTAAGTAAACATCTAGGTAGATAAACGACCCTTAGCGTGCGTCGTAAAAATCTAGACATAAGCAATCATCTTCAAATGACAGACATCTGTGTTGATTATTTGAATAACTGCATCCTAATTTTGGAGTATATTCAAGGCTATTGCCTACAAGTTAAAGTTGTCGGAACTTAACCATAGAAATTCGCTGTTTCAAGCAGGCCAGAGTAAACTTGTAGGGGATTGGCTGATGTATTCCTTTAATGCTGGCATTAATAACTTCAAAATGGTTAATTCGATGATCTCAATCGCTGCTTGCAAACGACGTACAATGATACAGAACTTATGAAATTTTCTCGGTCAATGTTCATTAGCCCTAATTCATCCATTCTAAATTGAGAAGGAGCAAATGTTAGCATAAGAATGCCGAAAGTAGGTTAACACGCAACTCTTATTTCTAACCATAAATGCTGATAATTAGGAGAAGCATTCAACATTCATTAATTTTTATACTTTTGGTGAATAGACTGTATGGCTTAACATATTTGACGGAATAATATACACAATGTGCTGTAATGGTGATACATTAGCACAACCATATCTACATAGCTTTAATAAGGCAAATAGATATGATAATTGAATTGCTTTCTTTCATCTCCCCTAGTTAATTGGATTGCAATTATAGATGAGAGAAATTTTTACCATTGATCATTATTGGAAACATTGTAAATATGGTAAATTCAACGCTTCACACTCTTTCGATCCTAAAATCAATTTTCCCCTTTCTGTCCTGTCTGAAAAGTATTGCTCACTTGAATCACGTTTGACCAACGATAATTGCACTAAAATTAATACTGCCTTCTTAACAATTGGCCAAATTTACCATACTTGTATATCATCATCATCATCATTATTATTAACATAATGCCTTTCGAGTACCCTTAATTCTGGAGTTCGGATGGGGAACCTTAACAAAGGACGTCATCACTTGGAGCTCTCTTTATTCTAGATTAAAAGACCAAATAGGACGATAAGAGAATTTGACTTAGATTTTACGATATCTAGGGTATCAGTGTTACCATAATGTATTGTTGCAAGATTTGCCAACTGAAATCAGACGTTATGTTGCAATACATTGTTCATAAAGGTACAATATTTAATTTATATTCATACTTTTTCAAATACAAATTTAAAAAAGGACTTGCGTTATGAGAAACAATACATCCTTTTGTTAAACATTCGTTTCGTATGTTACATTAATATTTTATAGACCGAATTCTCGTAAACAGACTTTATCACAAAAATGTATGCCCGCCAATAGAAACGACGAGGATTATGGATTTTACTCTGTAACTAGGTCACAAAAATTTCTTGCCCAAATATTTTATGCTCAACCACAAATTTTTATACTTAATGAAATATTAACAACAGAATATTCTTTGCCTGAACAAGTCATCAACATAAATCATTTACCTTTCGCAAAAAATTAATCAAATCTGAGAAGGATGAAGTTTTCTAATAGGGATGCAAATCCGTCTCAACTGAAGACGTTAAATTTTGTGAGTGAAAAATACGCGAGACACGAAAACAGAACATTACGTCTATGCTTTTCAATCTTTCGGCTTTGCAAAATTAAATTTTTGTTTCTGTTTATTTAGCTTCATGAAAAGCAAAAATGTTCACAGTGCTATACTAGACAGATGCCCAGTGATGAAAGGAAAGTTCACGAAATAATGCCAAAGTATACTCACATACAGTACTCGTATAAATTTAATAATACAGATTGGCATTTTATACTGTCTAACTTGCTCATTTCCTCACCCCATTCATCAACTTCAGAGAAATGCTTCGTCTTAAAAATGATTTGTGCCTTCCCTAGCTCATCAAGGTAGAGTAAAATTCTGGTGGAAAAGTTACGCTCGCTTTTGAAAATAGTATTTTTTACTGAATTGGAGAGCGATAAAAATTGATTTTCAATTAAAAGAAAGCAGCAAGTAGGTCAATTGGTTTCAATGAGAGGGTAAAACAAGATTATTGCTTTATTAAAATTCAAAAAACATTTTCCTGAAAGTTACAATGTTAATATTTAACGGCTTTATTTATCGCTTATGCAATGACGACAGCAATGACTTATTTTAATTTACTCTTAGCTACCCAAAGAAATAGATGACCTGGCGAATCCAACTCGAGGAAAAATACAAATAGCACTGCGTTACATTGATGAGTCAAAACAGCTCTCCGTTGAGGTTCTTCGATGTGCAGAGTTGGCACCAATGGATCACAATGGCTATTCGGATCCTTTTGTAAAATTGTACGTTTATATTTCGGTATTTAGTAGTACTTGAAAGTGACAGTTTATATCTTCACTTTAAAATCCTTCAAACTTTCAGATATTTTAATTAGAATGATTAAAGATGTTGATATATTTGCTAATACTAACAGGGATTTTTAAGGGCTTGAAGGACATCATACAAGATTTAGTTTATACTAATCTTCTGGTTAATTTGCCTTCACGAAAAACAGTTGAGATTCAATTTAATTTGATCGAAGAGTAAATTTTGAAATTTCAATGGTGAGATCACAGTTTTAAAAGTAATAACCTGAATTCACTTTCGTCGAAGGCATCAAGTTTACAAACGAATGGAAAAAAGATTTGTTTCTGCTTATTATCAGTAAATTGAATTGAATATCATTGAAAAGTATGCTCAACATTGGTCATTGGTTATTGAAGGTATTGATCAAATGTCGGGTTACAACAGGTCTGGATATTGCATTTAAGTTAGTTAGTTACTAATCAAGAGGAACTTGAAAGTGCAGCCAGTTGATATAAAATCGGTTTTGAAATGGACATACCTTTTAGAGATTTATACTTTGCAGGTATCTACGACCTGATAAACAACGAAAAACCAAACAGAAGACCAAAGTTAAGAAGTCAACACTATTTCCTGAATTCAATGAGGTAAGCATGCATTGTAATGCTACTTTTAAATATATTCAAAAATATTGATAGAATTGTTCTTAAATTGATTGTATATGATTATTTATGATTATTTAGTTTCATTGAAAGTTTTAACAAAGTTTGTTTAAGGTTGTGGCGGACAGAGCATATATATTTTAGACATAATGCTATCAAGTTGTTCACTAAAATTTGTATAAATTTGCTTGTGAAATAGAAGTATTCTTTTTGATTTGGACTCACATTGAAACTCTTCTCACTGCTACTTTATGAGTAAGTGATGAAATGATAATGACTTTTTAGTAAAGCGATGGAAGCTGCGTCTCAAGTGATTGCCAACAGTATTTATAAAACTACGTACTTTCACGAAATAAAGTGGGTTTTAAGAGTCTAAAACTGGCAGTTCAGTACAAGCCGTAAATACTGGTGGGTTGGAAGGTACAAGAGTCCAAGAAGGAAAGGGCGATTGCCAGCAAAATGCAGAAAAGAATAGGATAATGTCCTTCTTAAATTATAAATAAAGAAAATGGGCAGTGTGATGTACGTGAATAGTTTAAGGAAAATTGTTTAGAGGAAAGGAAGGATGAATTTCACGAGAAAATTTGCTAATCACTTAAATAATAGTGAACAACTTCATTAACCTTGAGGAAAGTGTGTTCTGTGCAATTATGTGAAGGAGTCAACTAACTTGAAGAAAGCTGAAAGACCATCCTCGCAAATGGATAATAAGGCTTATTAGTAGAGTCATTGGACACCAAATATTGTAACTTTAATTGTACCCATGACATAGGAAAATGCCTTGTTTTACAGGGAATCATATTCAAGAGATGTAGATTTTAAATTATCATATAGTTTGTCATGCAGCAGCATTCTATTTGAAGGCAATTATTTTTTTCTTTAAAATGAATTTTACGTTTTCAATTTCTTTATCCATATGGTTAGGCGGAAATTGGTATTTGCTAACTCTTAGACGAATGCTGTCACAGATCATCCCAAAATCATAATTTGGATATTAATATAAATATCAATAACCATGCCTCTTTTTACAAATAATTATATAATATTTCTTTTAGTCTATATAAATTAATAATGTTACTCCTTTATGAGAATATATATATGCATGTAAACAAAAAGGCGTTTCGAATTTCATAATTTAATCGTAAATAAAATATTAAGCATTTTTACTAGACAAGCTAGATTAGAGAAGATATCTGGTATTTATTTAACCATATGGTTGCCAACATTAAAACATTGGAAATATCTGCGCATGTATTGGACAAACTAAATACGCAAATCTTTTGAACTGCTAATTAATATGATCTGAACCCAGCCAGATGGCGAAATCAATTGTCTTGCCAATTAAATCCATTAGTTTTTAATGAGCTAATAAAGGGTTTCGCATATATCCACTTTTTTGACATTTCTATAATAAAGTTTTGAGTACTGATGATGATAATGATATTTATCTGCTTCCATTATTCAAGTCAAAGTAAATTTTAGAACAAATGGAAACTGAAAACCATCTAATTTGGGAATACTGTTCAAGCATCCGAAGCGTATTGATGTTTGTTTTAGGTCTGGATATGATATAATTAAATTATTTAAATAATCGAGTTATCCATTATTTACGCAGCAAAAGCTGTCTAATGTCACACTGGATGTGGCATCAGGGTTTTATAGTGATTTAATCTTCTCAATGTTTAGTGATTATTTTATCTCTTTACATAGATAAAACAGCTGGTTAATATAATATGGTAAATAAAAATCTATACAAAATATAAAAATTTTGATTAAACATGGCTGAGCATAATAAGCGCTGATTATTTTCTTATGGGGAAATTGAAATAGCTTCACAATGTGTTTTTGAATTTTATTTTAATTATTAGTACTCACAGCATTAAAAAATTGCAATTTTAAATTTTGCCAGGAACGGATGTACGCGACTTTCAAATCTCAATTACTTGAATTAGTTTATTAAGAATGACATTGTAAGGCTTTAGTCTACCTTAAAGATGCTATGATACTCAAAGGAAATATTTGCAAAATACATAGAGATAGAAATTTGTCATGAAAGCGGCATTACAGATTGCATCTGGAAAATTTTCTAACTAACACTATTTACATAGCTTATAGCAACGAATAAGTTTTAATGTCAATTCAAATATTCAACTCAACGGAATCAGCCAAATGTTGAGTATACATGATTAGTTCTCTCTGAAAGGGAAGTAATAAAGATACCTGAATTTATTCGTTTCGGAAGAATTGAGTTTTAGTGTTAGCTGAGTAAATTTCTCCACGAAGAACTTTATTGACCATGACATAGTCCTAAAAGTAACAAAATTTTTAAGTGTATTTATAGCGCTTAAGTTTGACTATATATATCTGAAATGAGAGAGCGCTTTTGTGATTTTATTTAGCGATGACGATAAAAAACGATAAATCGATATAAAGATGAATCCCTCAACTCAAAACCAGGAGACTGCAAGAGTGTTGTGGCTTTTCCAATAGGTTTTAATACAAAATGTGCTTAAACTAAGGAGTAATCAAATTCTTGAAGGATTGAAAAGTTTTTAATTTGCTAAAGGCAATGCAAGGAGTGATCAAAGCACAGTAGCTCATCATAGAACTAATTAGTAAACTTAGTAATTTCTACTACTTGTTATTTATTTGCAGCAATTCTATTTTAACATGGACGCTTTGGAAGTTAATAAACGTACTCTTGAAATCACGGTTTGGGATTTCGATCGAGGGGTGACCAATGATTTCATCGGAGGACTAACCTTGGGGGCAAAGGCCAAAGCTGAACGAAGAGAAGTGTGGCAAGCTGTATTTCGTCCGCCTTATAGACGATTTGAAGCCTGGTTCCAACTGGCCTCACGATCCGATATTGATTGTCCAGGAAACGAATCTCAAGATGGATCAGAAAACCTTAGCAACCACACCCCCACTCCAGGCATCTGCGATTAGTTTTTAAGATATTTTACTCTCTCTTCTCCCATCTCCCACCTCTCTTCTCTTTTGCAACTGTCATTCCATTCCACTTCTTCCTTAACGTATTTATTATGTACACAGACATGCGTCTTTTCTCCTTAACAACGAAGAGCTTTATTCAATTCTTTTCATTTCATCAACAATAATATTGTAATATTCCACTAAAACCTCCTTCGCCTCCTCTATTACTCCCATAAACTTTTCTCTTCTATTTATCTACTTCTACGTGGTGCTCTCGCGTTCTGTGCAATAATGATCTTTCTTTTTTAATTGAAATTACTGCATTTAATTCTTTTAAGAATAACAAAGATGACCAGTAACTAGGTTATTGGCAAATATTTAAATTTATCCACTATTATATTTCTCAAATATAATAGTAGTATTATTGTCTCAAGAAAACAATAACTACTATTAGATTTTTTTACCTCAACGCAGTGTAGAATTCTGGGAATGCATTAGCAGAATTGGAAACAAATTACTGTGATGTCTCAATTTATAAGTGTTGACTAATTTTTATACGGGTAAATAATTGGGAATAATATGAATTAAGCCCACTGCACTGTTATTTCCTTCCCATGGGAAGAAAGTACACACTGCATTTCTAGTGTAATTTTGTGCCACTGAAAAACATGAAGTTTGTGTGTTCTTTAGCTTTGGATTCATTTAATGAAATTTATATTTAAAAAAAGATGGAAAGAACTTCCTTCAAACCCTAATACCTCGAATTCCCCCCCCCTGGATTTTTTATCAGTCTAGGAATTTGAATGGTTGCTGAAAGCATTTCAGTGTTACATCTTTCCTTTCTAGCATCTAAGATTATTGTAGAAATATGTTAGCTACTTTGAATTTTATAGAATGAATTAACTAGAGTTATGCTCAAGATGCGCCAAATCTCCAAAAACCGCAATCGTTATTTCCTGTCTATTTCTGAAAATTAAAAATCACCATCTTGCAAACTGAATTAATATTAATTATTGCAGTCACTGACTTTTAAACGAAGTAATTTTTTAATGACGTGTTTCAGAGGAATATACGTTTCAAACAATTAACTCAAGAGCTTCTTATCATGACGTTCTTTTAACTTTTAAGCCATTAAATCAAACAGAATTTAAAATTGTTCCATGATATGAACTAATTAAAAGTGCTTTCTTGATCAGTTATCATAGGTAGTTCCTGTACTTTCATATTTATTGCTCACTTAAAATGTGCCTTTTAGCGATAAAATGAGGGTTTAAAAATTCTAATTTAAGCAAATATCCGTATCTTTAACATATTACTTTTCATTATGATACACATACACGTTAGGCCCAATGTTTAGACACCAGTCAGATATTATGATACATTTCGATTTCAAAACTGAAAGGAAAGTTCACAGATTTTAAGCGAGTGTATTTCCTCCATAATAAATAAATAGGTATTGTAGTGTTTCCGGTCATTTTCTGATTGGGTGTTTAAATCAAATGCAAGGGTCGTTGTAAGTATCGTTATATAATTCAGTGATAAAATACGGAAGTGAATTTCAACATGGATATACAACTGGTTAATAATTGATTTCATGAGATTTATTTTGATGCACTTAAAAATCGATATGGCATGTCAATTTGAGGTCATCAATAATAATTAGCTTTGTGATATTGACGTTCAATATATATATATATATATATATATATATATACGTTCTAGTTATGATAATTTATTTATCCCAATTTAAATATTTTTGAGATGGAAAAAGAATCCACTTAGGCCACTTAAAAGATGAAAATGTGCTTTACTTAGCAACTAAAAATATTCATTTTGAAAAACAACATTTTTTTATTAGATTCATATTTCTCAATAAAATTCGAGGTTTGACATTGAAGCAATGAAAGATGTTTTGCACATTTAGGGCACAAGAAATAATATTAATTCATATTGTGAAGTATTTATGAAAGAAGTCGTAAGGGAAATTTCCGCGAAATGAAAAAAATGAAATTTTTTCTGAATTTGTGTATGCAATGAAAAAGCACTATTTCAAAGTGCGGAATTACCATCTAAAATCGTTGTATTCAGGGTAACATAATGTGTTTTCTTCGGGATTGTCCGAATATTTTACTGGAAAGTTAATGCCCTCGAGTTCGCTACAAATACTGCTCATTTTATTATCATCCGTCTCGTTGCTATTGACAATTTGCATTGAATATGCGGTGACTTAACCAAATTCGAGTGTTGAAGTATAAAGTTGCCATCTTTAGTCCACCTCTTCAACTAGTTCTATTCAAATCCTCAAAAGAAGTACTGTTGGAAGATTCGAAATGGTATAAAGGAGTGTAACGTTGGCGGGATATTTTATTTCTCTTATCTAGGGCGTTATAATTTTCCGTTATCAAATCGACGGGCTTATTTAACGAATAAGGCTAAATGAAGAATATTTCGGAGGAATTTAATTGGTATTGAATGAAATTAAGCCTTTCTTTTTAATTTCCTCTTAAAATAGGAAAATTATTTATAAGTTACAACGAATCTATTACTTGAGAATAGTTGTGAAATTTACAGTAAAGGTTTTTTCGGTAAAACAAATAAGGAATCCGCGTCACACTACCTTATGCTTTCAGATCGTTGAATTGAAAAGTAAAGCTGAACGACCCAAAAACATTTATTTATTATTTATATAAATGGCAAGCGTTTTGATGGCTATCATTAGCCATTTAGTTGACTTCAGGCTTCACAGAGAGGAGGAGGAACACCATATTGAAAAAAGTCGATAGGGGGAGGGGAGGAGAGAAGTGTTTCAAAGACGAAGGTAGAAAAAATGTGAGGTGAGTACTGTGGAAGTAGTCGAATATGATACACAGTGGGGTGATGGTATTTCGAAGTCAGAAGTCAAGTGTCTATTAATACGTTACTCAGGGTGCACCACGTGGAGGTAAGTCTATCGCACACCCACTTGGCTCTCCCCTCAAATTTCAACCCTACACGGATGGGCGACCCAAAAATATAGAATTGCCTAAAAACGTGTCATTTTCTAAAAACGTATAGTATATTTTTTATAGAAATGACTTGACGTCAAATAAATTTTAGAAGAGATTAAACATACCCTTTAACGACTTCATGATTATCAAGTGCATCATGGAAAAGCAATTTTCTAGTCGCTGCTTAGCAATCTACACATTTTTTCGAGTCATAATAGTCAACAAATTATAATCAGACACTGTTGTTGCCTTCCGTTAATTAGTCCAATCATTAGAAATATACTAATTTCCATTGTAATAAATGTACGATAAAGATCTATTTTAAATTGTTTTTTTGCTTATATTTAAATGATGAAATATATAATAGAAGTTTTCGTGTATGCTTTTGAAGTTTAATAAATGTATTACTAAATGAAGTTAGTAATAGTTATGACTGCAGGGAAAATGGATGAGCAATTTTCTACTGTCAAATAGCAAAATTGTTTACCACAAGAGTGTGTAGGGAATACTTTCAAAGAAGATTGTAAATAAAGCGAGTACAAATAATCAATACTTAAGTAGGGATTCGAAGTCGGGAATCAAGCTTCGAAAATATTCCAAATCTAACCTATTTTAAAGACTTGGATTGCCGAGCAATATATTGCAAACAGTACCAAGTGATATTTTATTGATTGAGCGGTTCGTGTGTTATTTACTATTGTATTTATTTTCCTTATTTAATGATTTCAGAAACACACCATAAAGTTGATTCATCAACAGCACAAATCAAAATAGTTACTTTAAAACGAACTCGTCATTTCTTAGGTCAAAGTTGTATTTTTATTACAACAATCAACGTTCGGTATGAAACAAATACCACTGCATTTCAGTTGACAACTATAATTTGACGTAATGGTGCATATGCAAAATAGAACTAGAAGTAAATAAATAAATGAGTATTTACTTGGTGTTCCGATTACTGTTTGGCTAAAACAAAAATACCGCAAAAGATTTCATAAAATTTCTGTGAGTGGGTTTCCACTTTAATCGTTATATTCTGACCGTCAGACAACAAATTTATGACTTAGAGCTCTCTGAAATGCTACCTCATGCGCTTCTGGCACCATTTCCCCACCTCACTTAAGCTATTACGATTTGATGTTTTGTTGTTGTTCCAGTTCCAAAAGCAAATACGCCTTTTCTTATATAAATCGACTAAACTTTGAGCTCCAACAAAGTCTTCCATATAAAATAAGAATGAGTATCTGTTAAACGATTACAAATATCAAATCAACTTTTAGTAATAGGATTAATTGAATTACACCTCATTAAAATAACGCAATAACAAGATTTTTCTATAAAAGTTTACAAAACAATGAAATAAATAACAAGAGAATTCAGCGCATTTAGCAGATCCAATTTTCGCGATTATTTATTGTATCACATGAAAAGATGTGAAACACGTTAACCCGTTTCTCTGTATTGATTCTATATATATATATATATATATATATATATATGTGTGTGTGTGTGTGTGTTGTTTACNNNNGTAAACAACACACACACACACACACATATATATATATATATATATATATATATATACATGTGTGTATGTGTGTGTGTTGTTTACTCAAAATTAGTTATATAAATGCTGTAGGGAACCAACTGTCTACTCGTAACTTCAGTTGCTATGATATAAAAGTCGTCATTTTATGAGTAAGCAAACAAGCATGTTTATTTTTCAACAGTTGAGTCAGCAAACAAATGCAAGGCTATAAGCGAAATGAGATTTTTCTACTTAAAAGTTAAAGCACTCTTGTAAAGGTGGTTAGTTTTGATGAAATTTCGATTAACTGCTTAGCAGTATAGGAATTGAGTAAGCTTTCATTTAAATAAATATTTATTTTTATCAAATAGCAGGATTTATGAATGTAATCATTAGCCCTTGGAGCTGAATTTGGGGCTTCACAGAGAGGAGAAGGAACATCAAAGTAAGAAAAGTTCGAGAGGGGGGACAGAAAAGTAGTTCACAGATGTAAAAGAGACAGACACAATGGTGGAAAAAAGAGGTAAGGTAAGGTGAGTACTGTGAAGTCAGAAGTCAACTTCCGGTTTATAGACCTTTATGTCATATTTGTGTACGTTGCCCAGAGTGCACCACTGGACGCAAGTCTATCGTGCACTCCAATTTAAATAAATATCAATATCCGAAATAAGTCATTATTACTTCAATAAATAATTACATTTCAGTACAACTTATTTTACTTTGAAACGAAGTTGTTCTCATCTAGACGAAGTTATTTCAATGGCACAACAAAATTGTTTGATTCTATGTTAATATTTCTGTTGCGACCATTTTCAGTTATTTCATCATTGATTACTTGCCAATGAGAATTTTTAACCTGAATCATTTTAATTCAGGCGTTAGAACCATTCAAGCGCTGCCTATTTTTACTAAATCACGCTCAATTTTCATTGAACAAATATTAATTTTAGCACTACGAAATTTGGTGTAAAATGCATTTCATAATTACTTGCTACATTTGAAATTTTTAAATCAGCGTCTTCTAATATCTTTAGCAGGTAGTTTGAGAGATGCACTGGGCTAAATTCATTATTTTTCTATAAAATTTCCAAAATTTTACTATATTTTCCTGCCAAAGTAAACAACAACAATACTCCTGTAATAGACGATACGCATCACAATACCATTATTACAACCGACACAACTGATGCGAGGAGGAATATAGGCTTTCTCCAAGACGTCTGAGATAAAAGTTGAATTAATGGCAAAAATTTTGATTAAGTTAACAAATTATTAATCAATAACTGGAAAAAATAAGGATCAATTCAGGTACATACTGATGCCGGCAACATATATAATTTCGATTTTAGTACTTACTTTTTTATTGGTTGCCTGCTCTGAATAGGACATTCAGATACAAATACGGAACAAATTATGAACCTAAATATAAATATCAATTGAATTTCGAATGAATTGGAAATGACTTCATATTAAAAGGTTGCTTTAAACCTTCGTCTATCTCCAAAGTTATTTCCATTTTAAATTTTATTTAAATATATAATACCTTTTAGGAAGTTGCCAAAACATCCAATCGCTATTTATTCTGTTTTCAAGTTAGTGTCTTAGCTTATCAAATCAAAATATAGGCAAACAATTATGAATGCCACTTATAAATTGATAAAGTTTTATAATTCAAAATACTTTCAATTTAAAATACGCTGCATTTGCTGATTTTTTCAACTGAATAAATTTAGGTACTAATGCTTTCCATTCATTATTCAGGCTTATCTTGTTGACATTTTTATGAGACTAATTTTTCCATGTATGATAATGTAAAATCACCTAAAAAATTTATAGTTAACTTGTTATCTAAACGTGACTAATGACCCAATATACAATAAAAAGAAATAAGAAAACATATTTTTGTTAAAATGTCGGTTTTATTAAAAAGAAGAATCAACTGTTGGCCAAATCAAAATAAATCAGTTAAAAAATTATCGTTGGATTTGAACACAATAGTACTAACAAAATCATCCTTCATTCTGCTTGCTGCGTCTCGTAGTTGTTGGAGAATCAAAAGTGTGCCGATTTGGAGCAAGAGTTCTGGAAGAAGACTTACTTCGTGGCGGGAGATTAGGAGGCTCCTCTTTTGGGGTATCAAGACTTCCAACCGCAATAGTGGGATTTCTGGCATTTTGGGATGTGTGGGAGTTAATCGCCATCTAGATTTTAAGAAATGGTCACATCTTAATAGTGAGATGATAGCTCTGAGTTTAAATTACTTAGGAAAGAGGAAATATGACTATTTTATTTAAATATTTCCTTAAATTATTTTTAGCCTACCTTTTATATAGACGCTATTAAAGTCGTTAAAAAGTGAAAATATGGGCAACATTTTATGGTTGAACTTACATATTATTACATTTCTTTTCCATTTGACTTGTAATTATTTGGAGCTTATATCAAGCAATATTTTATGGTATTGTTCGGCACACTTTGGTTTTACACATAAAACTAAACTGAAGTTCACATTATACAATAAGAGAATAAATCAGAGATTCTATTACAATTCCTGTTTTCAAAATTACTGATATATTTAACTCTACCTCATTTGTAAATTTTTCGTAATATCTAATATTTTTATTACAGTTTCCTGCAAAAAATGTTTGAACACCGTTATCCTAATGATATTTGAAAATAAAGAACGGTCTATTTTATTTTTAACTCAGAAGGTTTTAATTTTATATCTCAAACTGTACCTAGTGTCTAAGCACACTCGTTTCACTTTGGCTAACAAAATCAAAAATTTTTGGATATATTTCACACTACTAAACGTTTAAATTGGTATTTTTAATATGTATCACAATCACAGTATAATTTAGATTGAATGCCATATTTTTGTTTCCAAGATACCTCATCAGATATATGCTCCTCGAGGGCCTTTGTTAACGGCCCACGCCTTGACTTCCGTGTGAAAGTAGTCTGAGGATAAGCTTCTCGAGCATTAATAGGCTGGTCAAAATCTCTTCTAAGAGCATCCACTGACTGACCTCTAATTGAATTTGAGAATAAGCTCAGTTGGTAAGCAGAAGAAGCTGCCGAAGGGGCACGTGTAATGACCTCTCTTTGTTCGTTATTCGGTCGATAGCTACGAGCTTGCTGGCTTTTACCTCTCGAGCGATCCTGCGTTAGTGTGTATTGCTGGGCACGTGTCAATGGTACGCGTCGATTGCGGCTTTGGGGTCGGGGTTTTGATTTCTTTTGAATGATGCTGGCCTTCTTTTGAAGAAAATCTTCTTCTGTTAGACCGCACTATATAGGGCAATAAAAGATATTACTTTGGGCATTTAATCGGACAGATGGTTCTAAAAGTAGTCTGCTGAGAAGAATATTTATAAATACCTCTCAGGCAAATTCTTGAGAGCGAGACCTATGGGTGCTGGGATATATCACAATTCCAAATTTAATTTTGAAATAAGAGAAGAGTACGGTAAAATTTTTCCTTTTAGACTTTCTAGGAAATGTAGTCTAAATAAGCATTTACAAAAGAGAATTTTATGCCAAGAATATGTATAAAGAACTGTGTAAAGCTATATATGATTTTGAAGAACAAAAAGATGGTCCACGATGAATTGGAGAATGATTAGTTGAGAAGAAGCAATCATCTGATCACAGTCGATACCACTTCCCAACCCCCCCCCCCCGGCTAAATTTTTACTTACCTCTGTTTGTCCACTTTGGTCATGTCGATTTGCTTACAGGCAAGTGTAGCCGTAGTGCAGTTACTAGCTTAGCCCACTTTCAATTATTTAGTAATAACATGCGTTGTGGCCTACAACTTATTTCTAACTCGATCCGTAAGTCTTCTGAAATATTTTGTACAGATTTGTGAAAAATAATGTGATTTCAAAGGAAAAGTTAAAGAAGCCTTCCCCATTTCAGAGTAGAACAATAGGACTGTTTAATTGCAAAATACAAAAAATACAAGAAAGTATATACGAAAATGCTTAACTTAGATGCATTTTTATTTCCATATAAAACAGGAAATGTTTTTCAACTAATATGGGAAAAATTAAAGTATATTTCAATTAATAAGCTTTGTTTGGTTATGCCGTGTTTTCTTCTCCAAACTACATTACTTAATTAATAAAAAAAGGGAAGAAAAGGATATGACACGAGTAAAGTACCACATTACATTACCTCCGAATAGAAAGAGTGTAGAGTTTTAATTTTCCAGAGCCCCTTCAATAATTGAATAGCCGCTTGAATGCACCTTTCTCGAGTATCACACTCCGTAGAACCCTTCTCCGAATTCAAAACTTGAATAAGACTGTTGAGACGCTGGACACCGCCCAGTTCAACAAAGCGGCTTAAATATTAATAAATAAATTATCTAAACTCATTTTAAAATAATTCAGTGTAAAATCATTTTTATACAACTTAATATAAGGAATTCTGATTGGCAATGCTACATCACTGCCACTACTGGCAAAACCCATGCTGTAGCTTTGGTAGTATGTAGTTTGTCTTACTATCTCCTACTATGGCATTGTATGCTTTTAACTTGGATGAAAAGAGCATTAAATCAATCTCTCCCTCTCCCTCTCTCCTTAGACCCATGCAATTTGAGATGTCACGTACTTCCCCCTTCAAAATACAGAGTCTTTCGTGAGCAGATTGATAATGAAGACATAAGTAAATGTAAATAATGATTGATAAGGCTTTTCATTCAATGTGGTTGTCTCTCAATTTGAGAATTAAATTATTTTTAGGTGCTGCAAAGATCCACCTATTAATTGACTATTTATTTCCTCAATCACTTAGTAAAATATTAAAATACATTAATTTTTCCCTCTAGAATTAAAGAATAAGAGCCCTCAAAATCGTAAACAAGGTAAATTCACTTCTTAATACCTCTCTTGTTGGTTTTATTTAATTCGGAATTATGGTAGTTCTTTTTATTAGATAGGTACATGAGAACACCAATTTTGTGACTCTTGACTTATTAATTATAAAACCATGGATCCTCAGTATAGTCCTGATTTGAAAAATGACAACTAAAAGATGTGAATTGAACACTTTCTCTTAAGATGCTTCCACGCTCTCCCGCTCGGCGCATTCTATCACCAGGGGGGCTATGAATTCGTTGAAATTATTATACACTTATACTTTCAAATATGGACTTTAATGAATTGTATTTAATGCATTTAACGCACATTACTCGGGAGGCTTTTGAATAAATTCATCGACTTGACCATCATTTCTCTCGTTCAAAACCCTCAGAACCCTGTCTCTCACTCTTTGTCCTCTGTCTGTCATTCGGTTTTCTAAATCGTAGTTGTTTCTAAAAACCTTTCTGGTAACAATGCTCAACTCGCATAATTTAATATCCAATTGAAGATCATTTAATATTTTTCTAAGACAGGTTCATGCAATCAAGCTCGGTTAACTGAGAAAATTTCTACCTTGCAAAGTCATCCTGACAGAGAACAATTCTGGAACACAAGCAAAGTACAGGCATTAACATCTGAAGATTAACATTGGCAGGGATTTGAAATATTGTTGCTGAGGTTGCGAAAGATGTCAAACTAGATAGTGAGCGACTCCGAATCAAATCCGTTTCGGTTGAAAGGCATGTTACAAGGGTCGAGAGGGATTGTCGTCCAAGTTCAATTAGAGACTCTCGTTCCAGAGTAATGTTCTGAATAGTCATTGCCGCAGTAATAGCGACGGGACTATCAGTGGAATGGAGCAAATTTACAAGAGTTGGTAATCCTTGTTGCAATCGTACCTTAAAGTTTTCAAAGATAACTGCTCATGATTTATTAATAACATGTTTTAATTTACTTTAACAATTTCTTACTTCCGTACGAACAACTGTTGCGGGAGGCCACTTTTTCGAGGCAGTTAAATTTTGAATAACTCCAGCAGCAGCTTCGAGGCACACTGGGTTGGATGTTCGGTTCAAAACCAGAAGATAAGTGGCTACAGCATCGGGATGCCACAGAACAGATTCTGCTGAAGTTGTACCCAGTTCAGGTGTAACTAAATGTAATGCACCAATAAATTAGCAAAATTACCTAATTTTACCAAATTGTCATACAGTCGTAACAGTCAATATGTAATAATTTTGATTAGTTAATTTGTTGAATCGACGCATGGAAATATCCTTTTTAAACCAAATAGAGTTGATTCTTTTTACTCTATTGCTAAAAACAGTTGGTTTTCACTTAACATAATGTTGATTGAAGCACCAAGTTAAAATATGCAAAATCTCTCGATATTGACACTTTCAGTAGTTCCCCATTCATAAAGAAATACAACTATTTCATATTGCTTCAAAATATTTTTATTTCATTTTATCAAAACATGTATTGACGCCACAGTTCGAAAGATTTCCACGCTAGCTAAAAAATTAATACGCGAAGAAATGTCATATTCTTACTCACTGGGCTTGTAAACTCCTCCAAATGTGAATCAACTCAATATGACTGGCTTAAACTCATTCAGAGGTACGAAATTGGAATATCAATCACTGATTTGACTTAATCCCATTAGGCAACCAGCAGGCTTTGAAACACTTCCTTTGTTTCTTGAATTATAACCCCCTTTCTACCCTTCCATTTGTAAAGAACGCAGCGTCATCATGCGCGATAGAACGTTCTGAAACGAGCGGCGTGCGCTGCTGAACCCGTAGCAAACAAGTGAGATCTTGCTGCCGGTTCCATTAGGGAGTATGTGCGGTCGTGGGCAAAGAGAGCTCTCAGTCGATCAACAATCAATAGTCACGGCATTGCCAAAGTAGCGAAAATTGCAGTTAAAGATTTGGCTCTGAATAAGCCAGATACGCACCACCAAAAACGATGCTCACACCATACGTTCTGTTCCCCCCGATATTACTGAGGCGGCATAACTAATTTCGGGAGCAGTTCCATACTTTGGAATTTCGATATAGATATTTCTGAGGCATAAGCCGAGCATATTCGTGTAACAATCCGTTACACATTGATCTAAGCTAAAGAGCTCCATCTCCTTGGCCCTTTTATCACTCATTTTCGTTTCGGGAACAGTTGTGCAATAAAAACTTGAACCAACTTGTCCCTTATCGTCCTTTTCATAAATTTTTCATTAAAAATACGGGCAAATGCTATGATTCCCAAAGAAGCTAGTGACAGCTAATGAATTCTAACAATAATATTGAGCAATTAGTAAAACATTGGGCTATTTTCCGAGCGATAACTTGCTTCCTTGTGGTCCACGATCAAATAGTGACAAGCAGACTAATTGTTTCATTTGAGAAAAATCGTGCAATGCACTTCAAGGGAATGGTCATTCACAAGGTCTACAACTCATTGACAGCAATGTCCTACTTGAAAGTTACTTTAACTAATCCAACTTGCCGAATATAACCAATTAAAAACTTCTCCGCGAACATTCGTGCATACTGAAAAAGACAACTTGAAGTGAGGTATTGATGTTTGAAAGGATTAATGACTAACGAAGTAATTTTCGCTCCAAGGCGGTATAAATTGACTTAATTAATTCATGGCACATAAATGTGGTTGTGAATTCGGACTTCTGACTTTTTCGAAAAACGAGGCAAAAATGAAATCATTCAATGGCTCAGCATTTTAATCTGCTTGGGGTGTTTGGCACACATTTTAAGTAAGTTCACATCACGTGTAAGAAAAATGAATTGTTGCGCTAATCTGGATATCACCTGTAAAAATTATACTTAGTCATTAAATACAGTTAGTCAAATGTTTGTCACATGATCTACCGTCCTTCAGTTTGTTTGAATGGCCCATTGAAGCTCAACACTAACAACACTAAATACACCTCGGATGGTGTTCCTCCGATTTCACCATTGTGTATTTTATAATTGTGTCAAACTATACTGAAACACTTATTCGAACATTAGGAATTTCCCAAAATTTATTTTTAATAATAGGCAAAAAATCATTCAAAACACTTATTGTGCTGTTGAAAACAGTAACTAAAAAAGCATCAGTTCCATTGGAGCACACGGGTTTTAATTCAGAGGACTGGTAATCATGAAATGAAATGCTTTTCTTACCTCTCTCATCACCCTCCTCAATTGGCTTATTTCGACTTAGAGTTCCGAAGGCTCTATCAATTAATCGACTAGCCAAAGGCTTGCTCTCATTATTGGTAGAAGCACTATTTTCCCGTAGTGCATAAGCAAGGTTCCTAATTGCGCAGATGCAGTTTTCAACAGCTTTCATGTCGGCGAATCCTGAAGTTGATGCCACCCGCAGAACTCGTAGCAGACTTTCAAGCAGTCCCCGACATCGCCTCACTTGCGCACGTATTGCTGCATCTTTACTGCAGCTTATATTTCTGAAAGGGAGTATATGATGCGACTATGTTAGCTATACTGAAATGTAAAGCATTTCATTGCATAGGTAAATAAGTTAAATATTTTAATGTAGTTCTTCGCAAACCTAAGTTCTCAATTATTTCAACTGATACTTCAACGAAAAGCCGCAAAGAGCACTAATGAAGAACTGGGTTATTTGAACCAATGCTTCAGATACGCATGTGAAGTTTTGATCGGACTAACAATCACTAAGTTAGGTAGTCCGGATCAAGAAAAATTTATGTATTCGCACAATGACACCTTTATCATCTTATCAATTTGTATCGGTTGGCTCATAATACTTTTGTAGCTTAAGATATAATTTGTATGGAAATTCCGCCTTTAAAATTACCTCTGTTTTAAATTCATCTTTAGAAGAAGTAGAATTAGAGGACACCGTTATATTGCATTCTTTGAGCAATGGAACAGTCTTTTCTCGTACTGCCGACATTAGAGCAATAACTTTGTAGGACACGTTATCGCCGTGTGCGTCATCGTATGCCAGCATGTCTGCTCGCCAGGATTGGGAGGTGCGGCCGCACAACTCTGTGTGCAGCGACCGTACAAACAGTGACCAATCATTAACCTCTGTTTAACCTAATCCCATACAAACAGTGACCAATCATTAACCTCTGTTTGTTTAACAGCCAGTGACCAATCATTAACCTCTGTTTAACCTAATCCCCCATCATGACCAATCCTAGCCTCTGTTTGTTTGACCTAATCCGCCATCCTGATCATGATCGAACCGGCGACCTGGGAGGTGCGACCGTACAAACAGTGACCAATCATTAACCTCTGTTTATGACCGTACAAACAGTGGCCAATCATTAACCTCTGTTTAACGCGATCGTACAAACAGTGACCAATCATTAACCTCTGTTTAACCTAATCCCTCATCCATCTGACCAATCATCAACCTCTGTTTAACCTAATCCCCCCATCCTTCGCCGTACAACTCTGTGTGCAGCGACCGTACAAACAGTGACCACTAGCCTCTGTTTGTTTGACCTAATCCGCCATCCTGATCATGATCGAACCGGCGACCTTAACATCTGTTTGTTTAACCTAATCCCCCATCCTGATCATGAGTAGCTCCCTGCGTGTACACTGATCCTCAATATATTTCCTGAATAAACGCGCTCCGTGTTACACGTCTGTTTCCTTTATAGCTGGGTTATAGCTTAGCTGGTTCTGGGAGTCTAGCTAGATGTAGGAGAATCTGCCATAGAGATTTCTGAATCAGTCAGGCTTTACTGTCGTAGCAATCTGCTTCAACTTCAATAGTAGAAAAGTGGTAAAACACCAATAAGATGCAGAAATGAAAGTATTCTGACGGGATGAGATATGGAAGTATTACAATGCCATTCGATGGAAGGCCTTTAATTTTTATCAAAAAGTGCGACTTAATCGATTTTGGAATAAACTATGTCAATAAATAATTCATCGGTCTGTTATGGTTAAATAATGGGAAAATTATAACATAATTTGTTGACGTAAACATTATTGCAGATAAGCAGTAGCTCCAAACATTAATGACTATCCGATGCTTTCAAGTGAAACAAAAATTTTATATTAAATAACGTCGTCTGGATGTATTTAACGAGGAAATTCGGAAAATGCATTTGTTAGAGTTCATGAGGTTGTGAATAATCGATAGGTATTTGGTAACAGGAATAATCGAATGCCCCAATCAATATAAGCAAAATAAAAATGCTACAAATCGGGTTGCGAAAATTTTACAGACTGTCTTCAATTTGGCTTGTTTTTAGGGTCCTTTTTAAATATTTTTAGCATTTCACCAATGCTGTAATGACTTTCGATTTGTGGATTACATTTAAGATGATTACAACAAGTACTTCCTTTTTGTATTCTGATATGTTGTAGTATTTTTTTTCAAATAACTTGTATTAACTTGTTCTGTTTCTCAATATACGAATAAATGGAAGGGGTGTGGAAACAAATGGCCCCAAATTAGGAAACTATGTGAACTAAAATTGAATTTCACGGCGCCCCCAATATTTACATTTTTAATTTTTACACAAAGCTAAGGTAAATATTTTCATAAACTTCGGTTTGCGTTTTTTTTCAGTGGGAGCAAAAAAAATTAAACTTATAACTTTGAAAGTTAGATTTTGTTGAACATATTACCCTTATTTAGCCTTATATCTCGAACGAAGTTTTGAGCGATTCAATTTACAAACAGCTTTCACTTTCGATCTAAAAAGTGCATGCAAACATTCTATGTAGTATGATTGAAATTCGTTCAATTTTTTGTGGACATATGTATGGGTGATTAGTGGAATTAGGTGTCTCTTCGAACACTTTCGTATAAAAAGTGATGTGCGTATACTTAAATTCAGAAGTCGTATACTGTGAAACATTGATTCAGTTTTGAATATTTCAAAACACAGGAGTGTCAGGTATCTTCATAACATAATAGTTTATGGAAGTTGCCATCGTCGATACTAATCGATGCACATTAAGTGATGTGAATGGTTAATACTATTCAGTAGTCTCATACACTACTTATTCAAGTTGAATCAGACCGTCTAATCTATATTAAGAAATATGATATCATCAAAACAATGCCGCATGATGAAAAACAAACAATTAAGTTTATCTTCTAATTTCATTAAACAATGGTTTATCGTACTGATAAATCTGACCATAATTCTGTCTCATATGCTGTATGACAACCTCTTTGAAACAATTTATTTATATCAAATGGCAGGCGTTTTGATGGTTATCATTAGCCTTTTAGTTGACTTCAGGCTTTACAGAGGGGAAGGAACATCGATGTGAAAAATAAGTTGAGGGGGGGGGGACAGAAGAGTGTTTCAAAGACGACGGTAGAAAAGGTAGATAGAAGGTAAGATGAGTACTGGGGAAGTTATGAAATATGACGTACAGTGAGGGGTGATGGTAGTTTGAAGTCACGTGTCAACTGCCGGTTTATAGAATTTTTTGCCGTATGAGTATACGTTGCCCAGGATGCACCACGTGGAGGTAAGTCTATCGCACACCCCTCTTTGAAACAATCATAAGCACTAAATACGAATCGACCTGGATGGATCCCAGTATCCAATAGGACAAATATGTTTTGCTCGGTTGATAAGGCAATAGGGGATTATTTAGTGCATTTCAAAATTTTATTGCTTAGCAACCAACCTTTGTGCTTGGTTTACTGAAATGGAGTTTGCCGCTAAACTCCTCACATTTTTATATTTTCTGCAGAATCTTCTGCCATGGTTTAGAACAAATAAGAAAAGTGAGTTGAATATTCATTTATCAAATTAAGTGGCCACAATTAGATCAAGACGCTATTAATATGAGTAA